GCCCCGCCTGCCTACAGTTACCTCCCAGTGTCCTAATCCTTTCAAATTCTTAATCTGTCAAATGGGTTCATCTACTGAATAGGTTACAGCTCGTACAATCTAATCATTTCACTTCTGAATGTTCCTACGTTGCATATCATATTTCTAACACATGAGCTTTTTTATTGTTTTTTTTTTTGTTGTTGTTGTTCTTTTTTAGATATACATACATAACAGTAGAGCAACACATAAGCTTTTTAGGGAAAACTTTATAGCTAAACTATAACAGCTATTTACAATAAAAGATTTTTAAGCACTAGCTAGCTCTAGCATTTCTTGCCCAAGAAACTGAATTTTAAAAATATACTTATGCATATGTGTATGTATATAGGTACATGTATATACATGATATGCTAAGTAATTTTAGATTTCTGTGTAAAATATATTTAATATTATTATATTACTAAGTAGTAATATATCAGTAATATATTAATAACTTCTAAATAATTGGAGCTTTAAAAATCAAAATAAATTGTGAATGTTCTTAACACAATTCAAATTTTCTGCCTTTATTTCAATAATACCAGAATATATAATTTATATAAATTTTAGGGCATGAAAATAGTATATAAAATTAGGGGAGATAGTTATTCAGTTTCTATAGTCAAATATATTCATTAGACTGCAACTATTAGGGAGATTAGTACATAATGAGATTATTAGTTCATGTATTAGTCATGTATCTGTCACTATAGTGAATATCTAAGGCAATTAACATATAAAGAGAAAAGGTTTGTTTTGGCTCATGGCTTTTGGAGATTCAAGCCCATGTTCAGTTTTCCCCCTTGCTTTGGTCTTCTGGTAAGGCACACATCATGGTGAGAACATGTGCCAAAGCAAACTGCTCACTTCATCAGCCAGGAAGCAAAAAGAAAAAAAAAAAAAGGAAGAAGAAATGGTTTACCACAGTCCACTTTGAGGGCATGCCCCTACTGGCCCAAGGACCTCCCATAAGGCCCCACCCTCTTAAAGGTCCATAGCACCCACCAACAGTGCCACCCTGGGGACCAATCCTTTCATACATGGACTTCTGGAGGGCATTCAGCATGCAGACTATATCAGTACATAAGTCTTCATGTTGCTCTAGAAAGTAGAATGAAAGGTAATGAATGGAAGTCATAGTGTCAAGGCCAAGGTTTGGAGTTAGTTGAATATTAATGGACAACTTTTGGGAGCTTCCTATTGTTAAAATAACTCATGTTGTGGTCAGCAATAGACATTGGATTTGACAATTTATAGGTCTCTTCTAATTCCAAGAATGTATGACTCACATGGTTATAATTATGATCCTCTGATCATAATGGGAAATTAAAGGTACAGTTTTTAAAACTAGACTATTTGCATTAAAACTCTTAAGAACAAGATTATGAAATCTTCTATATTAGATTCTATTAAAGGATACAAGAAACAGGACTCATAATTGACAGTTACTAATACCATTATATCTTAGATGGATTAAGTACTTACTTGCTTATTATTTAATTTTATTTATATTAAGTATTTGATTAGCCCCTTAATGAAAATAGAAAACTTAATAACCCTGTATAATGAGTGTATTAGCTAGCCAGTTACAGCCCTAAATATGGGAAAATAATGGATCACTATAGAATGATAAAATACTGCCATCCAAGAAGACCTGTCCATATTTAAAAGTTGCCTACCAATTGCTTTTCAAAAAACAAGTTTATAGGGTTTGGGTAATAGCTCAGTGGTAGAGCATTTGCGAGTAAGACACTGGGTTACATCTCCAGCACTGCATAAATAAATTCATATAAATATAAAAATGTTTAGAGTGAGAAATTTGGGATCACTTAAAATTATTTTTCTATTAGAAGATCAAAGGGGAAGAAGACACAGTGTTCTGGTCAGTTGAAGAAGAGAAACTTAGAACCAACCTATTTTCACATTACCATCATCTTTGAATTTGACAAGCCTATTCCTCATAAACCTTCCCTGTTTTTGACACTTAATCCAAAAAAGGAGCTCACTGATGGTTTTGCTCTCCCTTTTAGACAATGGAGGAAGCTTCCAAGCCAAAAACTGATGAAAGAAAAACAAGTTAAAGTTTACACTGTTTGGTAAGGTGAGTGTTCGTTGTAAATGAAGACTATTTTGTTTCTTCTGTCAACCTGTGTTATGTGGAAACATTCAAGTCCACCTCTTAAATACTTCATGCTTTTTTTATACTATCATCATGAAATGCACCTTGCACAATTTCAGAGTAATCAGAAATTATCTGAGGAATGCAAAATGGGAATATTGTAATATTAGAATGTTTAAAAACATTAATCTTAGGATTAAGATTTTGTTATTAGAGAAGATTCTTAAGTAAATGACTAGCTAAAGCCAATTGAACTTCAAAATTCAAATGCTACGACTTCAAGTTACTGTAGCAAAGCAAAATTAATGTTACAACTTGTAGTGAAATGACCTTGGTTCACATTGCACCAACATATCAATATACATACAGTGTGTGAGTCGGGGGGAGTACCCTTTAGAGTCTAGTAGAAATTACAGGGTTTAAGGAACAAAGGCAAAGGAAAAGATTGATTTTTATTTGTCTTAATTTTGGAAAGTAAAGTACTATGTTTGGTTCTAATTTATGATGCCTGAAGATGAAGATAAAATCCAGCAGATGAAGGAATTTCTAAGATCTGTCTTGAGAGATGGGTCCTTGTGGAAATTGTCAGAGCAGGGAGATCTTACCATAAGCCACAATAGTATACCTCTGCTAACTGACCAAAGCCGAGGAGAACTCAAATTGTAGACTAACTCAGGTTCAGTTCTCTCACCACAATCCATTTTTATGGATCCTATAAAGAGGGGAGGTATAGTGATAAGAAAGAACTGCTGTAAGATTTTTTCCAGAGTTTAATGAAAATTTTCTATGAATACTCTCATATTTCCTTAAAATAGGAAATTGCTTCTTCTTGTGTGTTACACAATGCTTTCACTACATAGCATATTTTCTGTGCTTGTGATATGTAAATTATGTATCAAAGGGTTCACTGGATTTATTTGAATTTTTCAAGGTATCTACATATAAAAATCTTCAGCTGGTGGATGGTGACTTTTGAAGAATAAAGACTTTGGCAACAGAACATTCTTCTGGGTGGCTTCTAGATAGTGGTATCTGTTAAGTCGTTTGACATTCTAAACAGTGTTTGTTATTCTTTTCCAGAAAGAAAATGAATTTGTCTGATTCACCTGTGTTATTGTACTGAGTGTTGATGAACTTTTAATTTTTTTTTTAAATTGCCTTCAGTTGGGAGAGAAAGGAAGCTTTATATTTGTAAGAAATATATTTGATAAAATTTCTTAAATACCCCCCCAAAGAAAAATAGAAAGAAAAATCTTGCAGACTTTGCACATTCTAACACAGTGCCTGTAAATCTCATTAGCATTTTCAGTTTGCACTTATTATTATATTTTTTTAGCATTTGGAAAACAAAGCTTTAAACAAACATTTATCAATGTTCTGATTTCTTATTTACCTCTTTTCTCTTGGGCTTCAGAACTGTGTTTGATGTTTCTTTGGGTTAATGTTTGTAGGTCAAACATAAAATATTGTACATTGGGCACATATCTCCTCTTGGGCTGCTAATAATAAATGAATACTATGTAACCTGGACAAACCAGGAAGCACCAATCCTCCTTTTCAGTTTGAACTCTTCATTTCCAGGGGTGAGGACTTCTGTACCTTATAGTCAGAGAAAACTCACTGAGACTTTAATCAAGTCAGCAAAAGATTAAGACACAGGCTAGATGATGTGTAGTAAGCTTCAAGAACAAGAACATTTAATCCTTCAAGAACAAGAACATTTAATATTCATATGGCTTGAATTTTGTTGGTATAGCATGTTATTAAACTGTATTTTCTACTCTCTCTACATAAAGCCTAAACAGCAATTGTTTGCTTAGAGCCATTTATCACATTAGTCTTTGCACTGTATTGCATCTGGCTTTATGAAAGTTTAGTTTTCTAAATACAAAAATAAAGTTTTGCTTTAAAATAAAAGCAAAAAATACACACACATATGTATATATGTACACTAAAATCTAAAATCTGATTTTCCCCCACAGTAATTCAGGAACTAAACTCTGATGTCCTACAACTTTGAGTGGTTTCTCATATCTTTCTGAATGAATAGTTTATGAGCATTGCACTGATATCATTGATGGATTTTGATAAATAATTAATTTCATCTTTATTTCCTGGCAGTGGATGCAGGAAAAGATGTCAGATACATATAATAAAACAGATTGGAATTTCTTGTTTCTAGAGAGCACAGCCTTCCTTAAAATCAATTTAAAATTTTTGTTAGAACTTCACTAACTTCACTTAAACATGAATATAATCTGACCAGTGCTGTCTAATGGGGGTGAGGACAAGTAACAATAACACTGCATATAATGGGCCTTGAATTTGTTAACACTTTCTAAAAGGATTCTCTACAAATCAGGCACATATCTATAGGATTTCAAACCTCACTACTTAAAACAAGTCTCTGTCCCATCAGAAAAGTAGTCATGATTCTACATTCAAACCATTAACAAGAAAAGGAAAAAAACACTTTTTTTGATGAACTTTAACTCTGTACCTAATTCTCCTATTTGGGCAGTATTAGGTATTGCTCTTTTTGTTCATTTTTAAAAAGACTGAAATCTTTGACCACTGACATTTTGTGTGCAAGGATATGGTTGCACTATTACTAATTTCCATGAATATAGAGAGATATTTTTAAATGATATAGAAAGATCCACAGGTTTAAGAATGCCTAGAAAAGTAAGCATTCATTTGAGATGCTTGGGAATATACCTTTTTTTTATTATAAATTTCTTTAAACTTGAATGTTTGCTAGTAATTCACAATGACTTGAGAAAGAATGGGATCTAAAGCAGTTCTTTTTTAAAAAAAAAATCTAGTCAGGAGAAAATGATTGCAAATATCCACTCAGAAGTAAAGAACAGACAAATATTTTTATTACCAAAAAGGTTTCCACACATTGTTGTGGCAATATTGTATCTGTTTAGAAAATCAGTTTTTCCAAAGTAGATCGTTTCCTCAAGTGACCAAAATTGAAAATCAATATTTCTGTGTTTCATTAATCAAGAAATAAAACATCATTAAAGCAAAATATTTTACATTAAAATTGTGGCTTTGTATTATTGTTAGAAGTAAATTAGTCTAAGGAGATATTACCAGTGAGTTTTTAAATTTTTTTAATTCTTAAAACATCAACCATCCAATAAATATAAAATGAAATAGTAAACACATTTATTTCCAAGAGTCACTGTATTCCATAGTGTATTAGAGCAACATATTTTAACATTTTTTGTGACTATCATATGCCTTTATCTTGAAATATGCAATATATTAAAAAATGTCATATATTCAAAAATTCACATGTAAGTCTCCAAAACCAAATAATACATTGTCTTTATTTAGCCTAAAATAAGCAAATAATTTTGGGTTCCCAGTGTATTAACATATATTTTTGACTCTACAATGATTTATTGGCAATAAATGCCAATGATGTATTATTTGGGAATTAAAAACTATATCAAATGAGGAGCAGAAGGGGAAATCATCACCTCTCTACCTAAGAATCAACAGCTCTCCAGAGCAAATGAAAGGTGTGTCCTATGGACCTGAATGCACTCTATACTTTTTTCCAGAAGGGATACTCTATCAGTGTTCCTGAGAAAATAGTTGACATTCAGAATAATCTGAGGAGGGTTCTAAACAAGGATGTTTTACGAAGATGTGGGCAGCATGTGTGAAAATCACAATCTCCAGGACTGGTAGTGCCAGGCTCCCATTGCATTTCCTAGTGCAGAAAGGATCACAGAATCCAGAGATGGAGAAGACTGTGGAAAAAAGGGCCACCTCCCAAGAGCTATGGCCTTTGGTGGAGAGCAGTCTGTGGCAGCCTGCAAAGGAATAAATATTTGCACCTTCTCCTCACCCAACCCCAGCTCCAAACTCATGGGCTTGCCATTGACTAAATTCAGAGGACAAGGAAGCCTGATGACTTGGGCCCTACACATCAGCACCTGGACCTGAAGTGGGAAGAAAGAGTGGACAACATATCTGGAAGGGTCAACGGGAGAGCTCCAGCATAGCTATTTCTGCCTTAATTATTCATCCAGTGTTCATTGTTCAGTATTCACTATTACATCTTAACAAGGACATTAATGAGCCAGCTTATGACAGACACATGGGGCACAGGGGTTTGGACACTGCATGTCTTAAGCATAAAATATAAAACAAAAAGAATCAGGTCCTTTACTCTGTGGTAGGGAACTCACCACTTGGGTTTACATCGTAAGGCACCTGTAAATAGCAGCCACAGTCCATTGATGAAAAAAATAATTGCTGTCTGTTGGGTGAAATGCTCAAATGCAGAGAGTTGAGGGGGAAAGGAAGTATCTTCAGCTGGAGCCAAAATGACCATTGCTATTTGAAAACATTCACATTCAACAAAATTCTGGTGATTATAGATCATAGGAACTTGGCAAGAAATGAATTGTTACAGCAGGTCAAGCTTTTCATTTTGCAGCCACACTCTGATTTTATCAAAATTTTTATCCATCCAACGTATGTTTTCCTCGATGGTTTCAATTGTTTGTTGGACACAACGAAGCTGAGAACCATTTTCTTTCAAAGAGCTGAAGAATCCTTTTACCTTGTGAGAAAAAAGATATATTTTTTTAAATTTATTTTATTACATTAAGCAAATATAACCCCAGGCTAATTAAAACTGAAGCCAAAATATCAGCATTTGTCAAAATTCTATATATAAGGCAGCCCCAGGTGTCTGGATATGATTAGGTACACGTAAGTTTGAGCTACATTAAATGAGCTCATGCCTCATGATGTCAGGTTTTGTGTTTTTTTCTCTGCAGCTCTTATTTATTCACAGTTGCTGGGGCTGCACTTTGTTTACCATTTTATAATTAAGATTTAATTGAGTGTGTCTATACTTAATGTGTGTTCTATTCTATACAAACAAATGCAAACAATATTTTTAAAACATGGTATCTAAAAAGCAGAATATGCAGAGTATCTTCTTTGCCAAGCAAAACAGTTCCAACCACATAAATGCAGCCTTTCTCCACGGGCCTGGTCTGGTATGTCATTATGGAAACACTGTAGGGAATAGGGCTCTTAGCAAGTTAGGGTGGTAAGACTCCAAGCTTTGCCAATTTTTTTGTCCTAATCCACAATTCATGTATTGTTCTCACAAGATAAAAATCACAGAAAGTTCCTCATAGTTTTTAAAGAGATAAGTGACTCTTGGCTATCTCCTCAAAAATACTGTTTTGGTTTCACCTCTGGGTATCTGAATCCCTTGAGCTCACATGGGGGATAGGTAGCTTTGCTGCAGCACTGAACTTTGTGCTATTTTATTTCACCTTAAGGGGTTCTTAACCTTTCCCCATAAATTTTCACAGCATTAATCCATAAATTTTCGATATTGTAGTGAGAAAGCAAGTGTAGGCCAAGATGTATTATTTTTTCAACATAGATTCCAGACAACTAAAAATCCATGTCAGAACACCATATTATGAGTCTAGAAGCAAGGGAGACAGGGTAATAATTGGGTTTAGGAAGCTCAAATTCCAATTTAGAATGAGGTAGAGTTGTTTAAAGTTACATCTCAGTACAACTTCTCAATGAATTGAACATAGGACATCTCACTGGGGGTGACCACCCGCTCCTGCTCCACCTTGTATTGTAGCTCATCCTAGTTTCACTCTCCAGAACCCAGGATGTTGTACCCAACATGCCCAGTTCATTCAAAATCATGTTAGGTACTCTTTGGTCAAAGCACATGTGTAATTTCACTAGTTGGTCAAAATATTTCATTAATCCTGAAGGAACCCATCATGATAGCACTACCAGAAAATAGCCTCTCTTCACAAGCGGTAGCAAAGCCATCTGTCAACCCTTTCCTGATCCAAAACTCACTCTCCGTCCTCATCTGCCTTGCAAATGTAGTACATCAACTGAGTATTTGACTCAAACCTGCCTTCTCAGAACATTTTCTGTGCACTAAGCAGTTTAAGCCTGGAGGAAAGTCTGCTTTTGTAGAATACTTGTATGTCTCATGTTCCCTCTTACTAGACCATGAGAATAACTCATGTGGATTTCTCATTTTTGTCTGACTGCTAGGAAACTCTGTGATAAATTTAGGGATAGGATGGTAATAATTATCCTTAGTATAGTTCCTCATTCAGTTATCTCCTGTCCCTAACATAGCTTTTTTTAATTTTAACAATTATTTTGCAGATGGATTTTATAAGATGCCTAAGATTCTTTCTGGAAGTAGATGGTATATGCCATAAGTAGAAGGGAGACCATGAGCTTGGATAGTGAAGAACCTAGATTGCAGATCCATCTCTTTCATGACTGCTGATGACCACTTCAGTCATTTGCAACCCCAGCACTCACTTTTAACTCCTTAAACAAGGACTTGTTGTCTCAAAGTATCTTTTTATGTCCCTATTTTTACTTACAGAGCAAAGACTTAACATGTTTGAGAAAAGGCATAGTTTTTACTAGTTTATTTGCAACCAATTTTTGCTTTTGTTAATACCCCAAACCGCTTCTAAATGACAAAATCCATTTTTAGTTCATCAAACTTTTAAGAGTATTTTGACTTCCCACATTTAGTAGCTGATTGTCACTTAGGTTTAAAAGATTTTCTTCCCCCTTTTACCTCTTCAAGCCGTGTTCTTGTGGAGAATTGATTTGTTGTTCCCATTACCATGTGGGCTATGGAAGACGAGCCAAGTTCAAATCTAGAAATGGAAATTGTTCAAATATATTGTGAAATATTTATCCATTCAGCATATATGTAATAGCATTTAACGGAAAATTGATGAGGCATGAAAAAGATGTAAAATATGATATCTATCCTCCAGTGAGTTAAGATCTAGTGGTAAAATATAATACATGCCAACATCTGAATAAAAGATTAAGTATCTAAAAGAAATGATAGAGATAGGCAGTGCTACAAGAGCTAGACAAAGGCAAATGCGAACAGCTAATAAGGCTGACCTGTAGGAGGCTGACTTCAGATAGTTCAATGGGTACAGGGAGGGGTCACTCCAGACCAAATGGAAAACCTTACTATCCAGATATATTAGTTAACATTGAAACAAGGTTTTACATTTTATGTGGATATTTTAAGTACCTCAACTTCCTATCATCAATCAAAAAACTCCCTTTAGACTATTACTATTTTTTTTACAAACAGCAAAGCTAAAGCAGGAAGGTTAAAGAACTTGTCCAGTCCCAGCAAGACATTTTGGCATTACTTACTTTTGTACCAGCTTATTCCAATTTTCCCTCAGAAACTGCCAGGCCAATGGATATCCCACTGGGTTTTTGGCAATGAGTGTAAGAATATATGGAAAGTCCTGAGTTTTTATTATATCTCCCTTAAAACTTTGATCTAGTAGCCTGTAATGATTAAGAGAAGAAATGTCAGCAATGAGTAGGTGATGAAATAGTTATAAAAAAACTACAATAAAGTAACTTGTAAAAGAACAAACCAGTCTGCCAATAATAAAGGCCAAAAAGGTAAATTGGGAACCAGAGTCCTGATAAACCCACTATAGCAACATAATAATAAAAACTAACATTTAAATCACATTCATAATACCAATCCTCATATAGCCTCTTAATTGCTCAAAAGAATAGTTAAGAAGGGTATATCTAGTAAATATTCCAAGTACATTATTTCTTTAAAGATATACAATATATATTCCTTTAAATATTTTCCCCAACACCTGGTTCTCCCTAATTATTTGCCTTTTTCATTAGATGTGTGCCCACTTGCACAAATGTTCTGAGCAAAAATAGGGAATTCCTGGCCAGGAGAACAAAAATAGGTGCCAGAATGATCTGATCTAATTTAATTTCCCTTGGCCATATGAACATGAATGAATGACTCACCACTGAAGCTTTTCTTTATTTTGGCTTGTACAAAGGGCAAACTCAATCTGGCTTTTCTCGGTACTGGACAAAGAAGACTGATATTTACTATAAAGAAAATCCCAGCCTTCTGTGTTCTGGGCCCCCACAGCAAACACTGCCAAGGTCACATCGATAGGCAGGCTGTGGGAAAGAACACACCCTGTGAGAACTGGAGATGCAGAAAGTACATTTAGATGCATAACAACGACCAATTAATAATTGATGAACTGGCCCCATACTCCGACAATATGCCTAGGAATATACACAACAATTACTGCTCTCCTTCAGTTATATTTTATAAAAAAGAAGCAAGAGAAAATATCTAAAATCAGGTTTTAAGCAACCTTCTAAAAACAATGAGAAATGTAATTTTTATAAACACATATATCTATCATCTTTTAATAATGTTGAGTGACTCCATAGTTGGTCACCTTTCAAGCCAAAAGAAATTCAAAATAGCCTCAAATTTTACTCAATGAGTGCAAGTCAGGAATCCAATAGAACCACTGCTTTGTAAGCATTTCTTTAAACACAGCATATAGATTGTTGGCATCATGTTTCCTGGATGGCATTTAAGCTTCAAAGAGAAAAGAACGAAGATAGAGATTTCCAGATATGGTGAGAATCCTACCTTGCATAGACAGTGTTAACAATAACTAGGTACCCCTGTCAGGGAATTTAGAGGCCCAGAGATGCTATTATAAAATGCATTGCCTCTTTTTCAGTATGGTCTGGCCATCTCAGTTTGATAAGATTTTCATTTAGCTATACAAAAATGGGAATTATTATAATCCCTTTCTAATTACATAGATATTTGGCTCTTTCTTACACAGAATTTCCTTCCCAGTATTTCTTAAAACTGGAAGTTGGGAGATATATAGAGATAAATCTTAAAAAACAATTTATTTTCCAAAAAAGGGCAGTTATTGGAGACATGTCTATACTCGTTTTTCTCATTGGTCAGCACCAAAGTTGGGGAACTGGAAAGATACCTTTTTCATTAACAAATTGGTTATTCTGTAGGACTGACCTCTTATTTCCATTGGATTCCCTCCACTCTCTGAAATAGCCTTCTGCCTTCTGCACACAAGGCTGATACTTGCGCACACAGGCAAGGAGGAGGAGCTGACTCCGCAGCATTCGCTCTGAGACGGAGCCTTCATCCGCCCATATCTGCTTATCAATGAGGTCCCTCAGCAGCCTGATGAGGAAAGCCTGCAGGGGTAGGACAGGGGACAGTGACATGTGGCATGATATCACAGGCCATTTCATGTTTATATAATCGAGCGCTCCCTTAGGTAATGGGGACTGATTTTTAAAGCTTAATTCAAATCTTACTTTTTAAACTGTGCATCTCTGTTTATATTTAATTATGAAAAGAGTCAAAAACAAGAAATAATGATGAATGGTTTTAGTATTTGCTTAACAATCTTTCCTAAAGATATTGTAAGATGAACTACCACTCTTAAACTAAAGAGCAAATTATACAATAAAACTTTATGACATTTTGTCAAAAGTAACAATTTTGTGCTTCTTTCAGGTACCCCTGACAGTCCCAGAAAATCTTAATATTCTCCATTGTAATAAAGAAGTAAAGTGAAATAAAAAGTGTGTGAAGGAAGGGAATAACAATCCATGACAATTAAATATAGAATTCTAATACAGCCATTCCTATTTTAGTGCCAAATAAAATCAAAATCTTTGCTAATCAATCCACATACTGAACTTTTATTGGCATTTCCTTGATATTAATATGAAGACACAAAAATACATGAAGGTAAGTGCTTTTTCACACACAAGAAAATCAAAACATAATTATATAACTTTTCTATTTACTTCAGGTTTTTACCTTGAATTGAGTTTCCACTTCATTCATATCTCTTTTCTCCATTAACTTATACATGGGTATCAGCTCATTCAGACCTTGGAACACGGGCATAATTTCAGTTTCGTGTTTCAAGTACAGGGTTAAATCCAAGGCTTTTTCAATCGATAGCTTTCCGATGCTGACCAAGAGAGACCATGGTTACAGTTTTAAAAGAAAATCCAGGAAATCACATTTTTTGCTTCAAAATGTAACAATCTTCTAGCAAAACAATCATATATGAGCCCCTCATAAATAATAACCTTTACATTAGTACCTTTTCTGTCACATATAACGTCTGGCAAGATTACACTGGGGAAGAAGTTTCGTTAAGAGAGCTAGGACTAGCTTGTGGTTAAGATGAACTGCAAGTCCCTCAGGAAGCACTGGATTGTGTGCTGAGCTTTCTGGGTAAGAAGGGGATGCCAATCAAAGACCCTTTAGGAAACCTGGTCAAGAGAAACTGCCATTCAGCAAAAGTATGAATCCCTGGTGTAAGCACATCTTGCCTCTTTCAAAAAGCCACTGAATGCACATAGAAACTCTTCCTAATAGAGGGTTGATGTTCAAAGTCTCAGTAGTACCATATATGCTTATATAATTAAGCAAAAACCTTCTAAGACTCAAGCAGAATCTTAGGCAGAAAGAAACAAATAAGCAACCCTCCTCCCCCATTGCTTTTTGTCACCTTAGAAGGCCCAGTGAGATGGTAGGAGGACCAGAAGGGAGAATCATCACTCAGGGTAGAAGGACATGGGGCATGAATAACAGAGCTACCCCTTCCCACCTGGATGGTTACCCTTAAGACTTCAGTTCTGCCTAAAGATTGAAGAAGTTTAAGGCTTGGCAAGCATTTTCTTAAAATCATTGTCATGGGAGAAAAAAGAAAAAGGAGAGTTTTCACTCTCTGTTCAACCACGCAAAGGTCATTTGGTTGGGCCAAATGTTATGAGCTATATTCATAGAAATGTTCTGAAGTTCAGGTATCTGTTGTTTAGAGAAAATCTCTCCTTTAAATCAACAGATTCAATGCAAATAACTGGGCCTGGTATATTTGGTCTTTAAGACGCCTGCAAGGTGGTCAAAGACCCAGCATGGAAGAAACCTGAGAGGCCATAGCTGGACAAGGGAAAGCTGTAGGACCAGGCTTTAAGGATGGAAAAATAATGTTGTCTCTTGGCTTTCTACACATTTACCACAGTCTGATCTGAATTGTTAATGAGGAAGGTTAAAATACTGATTCCATACTTCAAGTTACCTACCAGTAACAGATAGATAGCAGGTTAATTACAAAGTTAAAAGCAACCTTGGATTGTTAGAAGAACTTACAAGAAACACCTTTCAATTTCGCATTAATAATCAATCAATCACTTTCATCTTTAGAATCAAGAATCTGAATAATAACAGCTGCTTTTAGAAATAAACCAGGACTTTGCACAGCTTGTATTACCTGACAAGCTGAAATGCATTGTTAATGAGACTCGCCCGATCATTACTGCTGATAGTTGTGTGTGCCCCTTTTAAAAGGCCAGTCAAAGAATCCCATCCATCATCCTCATAATGTACAATGTAATAGCCACTCATTCGCACATTAAATTTGATCCATTCCACTGCTTCTGGGAGGATGAGCACATCTACAGCAAATAAAACAAATCATAATTCCATTTACTATCTTGACTGATGAAAGCTTTTCTGATCAGAGACTGGACAAGGAAACTAGAGAAAAGTTTAATATCAAACAAATTAAAATCACTTATTCCTTTTAGGAAACAGACAACAGCAACCCATAGACAAAAGCCAACACCAGCTTTAGACCAAATTTTGTGAGATTTATATAGATTTATGAAAGCAATGCAACTGCATTTCTGACCATACATATTATAGGCCCCAGTAGTATTAACAAAGTAATGAGAATTTTCATTGGTAATCCCTCCTTTTTCACATTACATAGCTCAACTGTTTTAATTTCTATCAGGCATTACATTGGCAATTCTTCCATATTTTAACCTAATCCCTTTTGTTTTAACCAAGATAAGCAGCAAAAGAAACTTGGTGTTTAAATCCTACACATTTCTACAGTTTCTCCTTTAGTTCAACTAGTTTAACTTTCATAATAAGTTACCTGTCTTTGTCTTCAGCAAAAATCTACCAACTGAGTCTGATTTGCTAGTAATGTATGTCAATGGAACATGCCATAGGTACCTAAAAGGAAGGAGGATAGATTCTTTATATTTTTATTCATTCAACAAACAGCTTTTAAATCACCTGCCATGCACTAGGCACTGGCTAGCTTAGAACAGGATGGTATAAAAACTGCTGTATCCAAGATCCTAAAACATATCCAGACTGTTTTCCAGCTCAGGCACTATTCATCCTTCTCGGACTCCTTGAGCAGAACTGGGAATTGGGGCTTAAGGGATTGGTGATTAGAGGCCAGAGACCTAATTTAAAACAGTGATCAAGTACAGACACAAATTGATATCATGTGCCTTCTAAATCATATACTCAGAAGGATACAACATCATATCTGTGGAATTTCTGTCTGTGATGCACAATCTGAATCTGATCATGAAAAAACAGTAGAAAACACAATTAAAAGATTAGAATATCCTATACTGGCTATATTCTTCAAGAATGTCAAGAAACACAAAGACTGAATAATTGATTCAGAATAAAAGGTGACTAAAACAATGAGACAAATATGATATGTACTCCTATATTGAATCTTGAAGCAGATATTTTTCTGTCTTAATATAAAGATATTTTAGGACAACTAGAAAAGTTTATTAGAGTTTAAATAAAAGTATTGTGTCAAGTTTATTTACTAATTTTGATAATTATATTATGATTATATAGTGAATGTTTTTTTGTTCTTTTGTAAATACTATACAAATACTTAGGGGCAAAGGGGTATCATGTCTCCAACTTGCTCTCAAACAGTTCAAAAAACATATATATCATATGTATAGAGTTAACATAAATCTTGGTAAACCATATATGGAAATTCTTGGCACTATTCTTGCAACATTTCCATAAGCATGAAATTATTTCAAGATAAAACAAATATTTTTACATAATGTCCATCCATTGTCAATCGAATTGTAGCATCTCATTTTTACTTGTATTCTTCTGTGGAATTAAGCTGACCATTTCCAGGATTTAACTTGGACTTCCAAAGAAAAGAATTGGGTCTCTCATAATCCCCAGAAATAATCTAAGTTCTTTTCTCCTTGCACCAACCTAAATGCCAAACCCTGTTGAAATTCAGCAGCAAGTGCTTAGATCACAGTTGATTTCAAGCCAGTTACTAGAAAGTACATCCTATTAAACTAAAAAAAAACATGAGCATGTTAAAATAATTATTTAATATCAGCTTAACCAAGATCAACCAAGGTATAAAGCCTCCTTATCCTTTCAAGAAGATAGGAAGTATAAGCCAACTTTATAGGGCATGTAGATTCCACTGAAATACTTTAGCAATAGAGGTAAAGGCATTTTTCCAAAAGTAAGATTTTATCCTATCAGGTAGATGTTACCTAGGTAACAGAATGAGTTTCATTCCATGAACATTACCCAGTTTCTGAGTCAGATCCCTTCATATAGTGCTCTTGCTTCATGTGTATGTTCCTCCCTCTCACTGTGATGGTTATCAGGGGAAAGCCCTTCTGCAGTGTCCAGGTGTTCATCATGGTTTTCACATCCACACTTTCCTGATGCCAGTGCTGAATTATACAGAAAAAGTCAGATGCATTACTCACTTAGACCCAAACCTAAGAAAGCAGGCCAGCCTGCATTCAAAGGGTTGCTACCAACTGACAATCTCCTCTGTGAGCCCTGATCCCTTCCTCTACTCTTCAGCCTCCTGCCCTGGCTCCCTTACCCCAATGTTCCCAGCATGGCACATCTGTTACAGCATGGACTGAATACTTTTCAGTCTCCTCCACTACACTCATGTCCTGGCAGGTAGCATATCTGGGCCTGCTGGGTATACCCTGGGGCTGGCATAGCCTTGACACCAAGCAGGCACAAAAATGAATCAATGAAGGGAGAGAAGGGAGAGGAAGTGACCAGATTTTCAATACCTACATAATTATGCAGGTTCTCAGACAAGCAAGGACGGGAAAAGCATTTACCCAAGAGCCTATACTTCCAAAGTGATAACACAGAGATGGCTCATGTCATAAGTTCAAAAGGGAATACATTCTTGAATACTAAAAAAGCTTTTTAAGAAAAGATTTAAGAGCTAGTAAAAGGGTAAAATATGCTACAGGATAAATCTAGAAACTTGAATAAAGCAGTCTATTTTTAAAAAGCCAAGAAAATAAAAATAGAGTAGATAAAATTTTGTTGAATTTCCAGATTCACCCATAAGTGATTTGCCTATGAAAATATTCCACAAGTCCAGATAAATAATCAAACCATTTTGTTACTCAGATGTTATATATACTTTATAGTGTAAGCAGTAAAAAAAAAAAAAAAAAAACATGAGTTAGATATAAATTCACATCCTTGCTCTGCAATTTATCGACCATATGCTTTTGGATTTCATATTCCCACATATAAAGATAGTGATGGTGCTTGGATCATGAGTTTGTTGTGAAAAGTAAAGGAGATAATGTACATACATGCTTAGCATATGCCTGATATACAGTAAATATTCAAGAATACCATTGCCATTATTTGTTTTTTCAATAGTGCAGAGTCTGGAATGACTGTCATGGTCTCCTGACTAATACACTGCAACTCAATCTACAAAAGAAACTGCTTTACATAGAGCAAAATGAAAGAAATTAGTATCAGTGACAATTATCACCAAAGAAGGCTGTGCCACCCTCTTGTATAGACACTTAAGAAAACTGTAAAAGGCTGAGTTTAGTGGCATTAGATTGAGGGAAGATAATCAGGGAATTCATAAAGTTTGACACAGAGCTAATATCCTTCAAAAAATATCAAGTTAGAGCTTCTTTTCAGCTGGAACTGTCATCTTCCAGTAATTTGCCAAAATGGTCAAAACAAGGGAAAGAGGAGAGGAACCCCATTTATGTTCTCTAGGCCTTTTAGAAAACATGGAGTTAGTTGTTCCTTTGGCCACATATATGTGAATCTACAAGAAAGGTGATATTGTAGACATTAAGGGAATGTTCAAAAAGGAATGCGCCACAAATGTTATCATGGCAAAACTGGGAGAGTCTACAATGTTACCCAGCATGCTGTTGGCCTTGTTGTGAATAAGCAGGTTAAGGGCAAGATTCTTGCCAAGAGAATTAATGTGCGTATTGAGCATATTAAGCACTCTAAGAGCCGAGACAGCTTCCTGAAATGTATAAAGGAAAATGATCAGAAAAAGAAGGAAGCCAAAGAGAAACGTACCTGGGTTCAGCTGAAGCGCCCGCCCATACCACCCAGAGAAGTACATTTAGGGAGAACAAATGGAAAGGAGCCTGAGGTGGTGGAACCTATTCCCTATGAATTCATGGCATAATAAATGTAGAAAAATAAAGGCTCATGGACTATATGAATTATTTTCTTTAAAAAAAAATGAAGTTAGACAACGTGCTCAGGAGAACATGTACAGATTTAGACACTTACTGAGGTTGAAGAGGAATGCTGACTTCTAGAGCAAAAACCATCCGTTGATTGTGAGCCATCCGTAGGACAAATCTAAACACCAAAACCAAGCACATCACACTTCTGTAGAAAATGCTCATGGTTCCTCTCAGAAGAAGGCAAAACAAAACAAGATGAAAAACCTGTCCACCCCAAGTATGGAGACAATCAAATGCACACTCACGCTTGCCATGCTATTCCACAGGTCCTCATTCTTTGTGTTTTTGTAACTATACTTATGGAGATACTGCACAATTCCACTTTTAAATGCATCCGCACTTAGATAATCCCTTAACATGTTCAGAATACAAGCTCCCTGAAAAGATATAGAAATAATTGTTACATGTAGTTTGGTTGAACCTCTTTTTTTTTTTGCCATAATTCTTTTAGAAAATAGCCACAGTAACATTTTTAATGATGGCAGTTTGTGAAACAGAGTAAGTGAATTAACCTTTGAGGTGCCCAGGAAACAGATTTGTCGAATGTGATTTTTTTAATGCTCCAGACTCACTGGGGTTGTTATTTTCTATGTAGCCAAGCTTATCTTGGGGCAAATCAGAATTAACTGCCAGCACCCTTTATTCAGTGTGAGTGGATGAGGATGCAGAGTAAACACTGCACTCTGAACCACTACCTAGCTCTCCCACTGCCACTCCAAGGCATGGGTGGGAGAGGCAGGTACCACAAGGGGTGGAGCTCCAGAGATAAAAACAGGAGTAGGTGCCAGGTGAGGAATGGTGGGCAACTACAGAGAGGGAGCCCAGGCAGCCTTGAGCACAGAGGGCTGAAGGAGTAACAAGGAGAGTGGGGCAAGACAATTCCCAGGTACTCTGTGATTGTAAAAAGCTGTCTTCCCCGCTTAACCCCCATTGCCATAGATCATAAGTCACAAACTCAGATGTTTCCAGTGACAAATGACAGATGGAATAAATGAAGGAACTTGTCTAAGAGCATACTCTTTTACATTATGTTTTTTTTTTTTTCCTTCCCTGCACTTTTGATGGAAACATGTAAATAAGAAATACTGCTGTGTTTGCTGCAACTACAGACAAACACCAGGACAAATGGCAACACATTCTCAGCCTCAGTGAGAAGACAATAGAGTTGGGGATGGAAGGGAAGTGGAAATACAAAGCCTTGATCTTGGAAAGAAGGAGCCACCACTTAGCTCCAGTTTATGTTGCCAAAGGAAATACAGGCCCAGTGTTGGCCAAATCCCTTTTTCTTTTCTTAAGAAAAGCAGCAATCTGGATTTTTTACATAAAAACAGCTTTACCTATGACCTCTTCACTCCAGTTTTAATAAGTTTAGTGTACAAACTATTCCCTTACAAAAAGAAAAAGAAAAAAAAACCCTGTACCTATACGATCCATTTTTACCTTTTCATAAGACACATCATCAAACATCTCTCGAATCTCAGCAGGATTCTCCACAGGTGTGGACACAGAGTGTGAAGAATTCAATGCGTCAACCTCCATTGCATCAAAACACTTGCCAAAGAAATAATCTTCCTATTAAGGCAGAAAAAAAGAAAGAAAGAAAACATCATCTATGACTTATATTTAAAATTATGAAAGGAGGAAGGTTTGATCTGAGCTCACAGGTCTACATTTCCAATTTTGTGCCAAAATACTCCATATTTCTAGTATTTATGAAATAAGATAGAATGACTATGCTTTCTAAAGAGAGTCCACAAAACAGTGATTTTTGGTGACCATTTTAAGTCATCAATCCAAAATTTGACTAGTTCCCAAATCACTGAAAGGAAAGCACAGCTCAGCTCATTCACACATTTCTATGGAGACAAGATTAAACTGTTATCTATAATGGCAGCCAGAAACATAACACACTCAAAAAGAAATACTTTAACATCTAATGTCTATTTATGAATATTCACATGTATTTATAGAACAAATGTTTTATCAAAATAAAAGTGAAAAATTTTTCAAATATGCATTATGAACCTATGCTTTAAAGAAATTATTTTCCTATTACAGGAAAATAAAATTATTTTAGACTTTATTCATTTTAAATACATATCATTTTAGAATAAAGAAAATTTCATATTATTCTAAAAACAAAATCATCAGCCTATAGCCAAACAGGAAAGTAAAATGTTAAGTGATTAAACATTTCCATTAATCATCTGTACTATTTAGAAACAGACATATTTAGCTTTAAAACCATATAGTTAAAGAAAAATATAGAGAACAAATTCCAGCCTTAACTTTATATGGCACATTAACTCAATTGACTAACATGCATTCATAATAATTTTTATTATTGAAGGTTATTATAGAAATAGGAATATTTTTGTGACCCATTATAGTATAACTATATGTACTTTCTATTTTAACTATGTATAAGTAAATTGTGAGAGAAAATGGGAAGTAGTGAATATACATAAAAGAAAAGAACTGTAGTAGGGTAAAGATTTTTTTTTTTACATAAAATAGTTCATTTTAATTTTGGTGCATGTGATTTTCTCAAGTGTAACATATGATTTTTAAAATAAATAAACAGCAGTTCCAAAGCATAAAGTTTGTAATCTGAGACTGTATCTGATACTCAGTATAACTTGTGATTTGCCAAGAAGGATTTTGTTGAGATAATAACAATAAATACTTCTATAACCAGCAACATACAAGTTGGAAAAATGATATGGAACATTTAGACCATCGTTATTTCTATTTTTTTATATTAAGGGTAGATACAATTTAATACTTAATTTCATAACAATCAGGGGTCAACACTTAAGTTTAAAAATTAGTCTGTGATAAATATTGAAAGTTCACTAGCATTTTTGAAATGTGATTCATATCTAAGCTTCCAAGGTACTTATTCATGAAATATTTCTATAAATTCTATAATCAAAGATTAGAAAATATTTCAAGCAGCAGTGAACAAACCCACAGATTAATCTCACATGCAAAAACATAAATAATGACTCACAACTTTGAGCTCAGGATGGGTCACACTGACAGACACAAATTCCATAAACTTGGCAAATCCCTCATTTAGCCAAAGGTCATTCCACCATTCCATTGTAACAAGGTTCCCAAACCACTGAAAGGAAAGCACAGTTCAGCTCATTCACACATTTCTATGGAGACTGGATTAACTTACCTATAATGGCAGACAGAAATGCAACACACTTAGAAATAAATATTTTAAATGTCTAAGTCTCTTTATGAATACTAAAATGTATTTATATAACACATGTTTTATCAAAATATAAATGAAAATTTTTCAATATGCATTAAGAAACATGAAACTTTATTAAAGAAATTATTTTCCTATGGCAGAAAAGAGAAAAACTAAAAATAAATGAATTGCTTCATATGTCCCACAAAAGCAATATAAACATTTAACTATGCTTTTTTAAAAGATATTTTTATTAGTTGTTGATGAAATTTTTTATCTTATTTATTTATTTGTATGCAGTGCTGAGAATCGAACCCAGTGCCTCACACATGGTAAGCAAGTGTTCTGTCACTGAGCCACAATCCCAGCCTTTAACTATACTTTTTAAGAAGAGTGTCTGAGGTTGTATACCTGGTGGGCAAGTTCATGGGACACGGTCATTGTGATACCAAGTTTACTGGATGCAGAAGATTTTTCTGCATCAAATAACAGTGCAGATTCTCTGTATGTTGTCAGTCCCCAGTTTTCCATAGCACCAGACTGAAAGTCAGGAATAGCTGCAAGATCTTGGGAAGGAAGTAGTACAATGTATTACTAATCACAAAGCTGCACGTTCCCCCAACACGTTAAGCATCAGAATGGATGAAAGTTAGCACCAAAAGAAAAGCTGAGCTGCTTGTGCAGAAATATGGAACTCCCGATAGATAGGAAGAACCCTTCTTAACGGAGAAAAAGGCACTCAGTGACTTGGAGTCATTTTTCTTCCAAATTGACCAAGCTAAACTGTATCTCAGGTCTTTTGACTCTATTTTTAGCTTTCTGACCATGAGTTTTGGGGCTGAGTAATCTGAACAAGTACCTCAGTAATCCATTCTATTTTGAATACCTAAGACACACACATATAACTAAAAACTCAAAGACACTATAGTTTTAAGGTATTGTATAAGAAATAAAATGCAGAATCTCTTAAACTTGTGTAAATTTGTTCACTCAAAAAAATTTATTGAGCACCTTCTATATACTTGCTAAGAATGTACCAATTTTTTTTAAAAAAACATCCTTTGCCCTCTGCTATCTGCTGGCTAATAATATCAGAAGGCAAAGTAGTTCCCATGCCACATGCCTCAAGAACTGTACTGAGATTTGCTTTTGCTATCATTAGAAGTTTATTTTATCAATCAGAGGAGAGGTGATAAGAAGGATCAATCTCATGTTTAACGCTGGGGTTTTGAGGACATGAGGAGCGGCTAGAGAACCATGGGGTGAGCCAATGGAAAGAATATAATCAATGACTGGGGTCATCAAATGCCACCTTGAAATATCTGTGTGAAATCTCTACCTTGTTTGGGTAAAGGGTATGGTATGCTGAAATAATCCTCATAAAATTCTAGAAGAGTCACTGCAGCATCCAATGCATAATCTGCTTGATTTATCTTGTCAGGCACAGCATACACAGAAACCTAGAGAGAAAGGCACAGAAAGATATTCAAATATCATAGTGGCTTCTCCCTACAACTGTAGAGAAGACTGACATCAATGGCTTCCTACAGTTGGATATGATTCTCAGTATTAAAGAAGACAATTAGAAATTTCATGCTGACTTCCTATCTGAAAACAACTACAAATGCTGCATAATATTTACAAAAATATCTTTTTAAATGTGTTCATAAGGTGGTCAAAAAAGAAAGGAATACTCAAAGGCCAAAAGCAAAGTGACAGCAGCAACTTCTGAATTCTGCAGAGAACTGCAGCTGGTGCCTAACTACAGATGTTCATTTTTACTGCGGGGTTCTAATAATAAAACACAGAGAGTTTGGCCTGGCCTGATCCACCTGGATTTACTACTAACTGGTTTTTTGCTCCTTTTGAAACTTGAGATTTTACTTCTTTAAAATGTGTAAATTGAGTGTTGTTTTTTGTTGTTGTTGTTTGTTTGTTTGTTTGTTTTTAGTGCTGAGTATCAAACTCAGGACCTGGTGCATGCTAGGCAAGGGCTCTACCACTAAATTATATCCCCAGCCCCCAAAATGGTAGCTTGATACAGTTTTAATCTTCATTTCTATTTTTTTTGTGTGTGTGTGTGTATATATATTGTGTGTTACTGAGGCTCAAACTCAGGACCTCACACATGCTAGGTGAACACTCTACCACTGAGCTATATCCCCAGCCTCACTATAAAAATGAATATCTGTAGCTGGGCACCATATCACAGGTCTGTAATCCTAATGGCCTGGAGGCTGAGGCAGAAGGATCACAAGTGTGAGGTCAGCCTCAGTGAGTTAGTGAGAATCTAAGCAACTAAGGTAGACCCTATCTCAAAATAAAAAATAAAAAAGAACTAGTATAGTTCAGTGGAAAACCATCCCTGAGAGTTCAATCCCCAGAAGCAAAAATAAAAAAGGAACATTTTTGATAAAAGAGCCAACAACTATCCTTGCCCAAGATTAAAGGATTTCCCAGGATCCAGGGCTTCCAGTTTTAAACAAGGTTAGCCAAGCAAACAAGGACAGCTTGGTCAACCTATGCATCAATCACAGGTTCACCTTTACTCCACTCTTGGTCATCTTGCTGACAGACTCAAAATCTGAAATAATAAAGGCCACCAGGTAAGTGCTCATCCTCACAGTGACATCAAAATGGTCTTCTATGAGTCCTTCAGCAATAGTCACAGATTTCACCTAAAATCAGAGTAAATCATATTACCAAATAATCCTGTTCAAAACATTGAACACATAAGAGAAATTTCCCTAATTACCAGATATAATATCAAATGTATATGACATGATATTTCTACAGTTATTTCAAAACTTCTCTACCTGATATCTATTATAATTTAGATATTAAAGTCAGACCATTTGACTCAATTTTTTTTATTGAGATACAATTCACATACCACAAAATTCACTTCTTTAAAATATATAATACAGTAGTTTTTAGTATACTCCTGAAATTGTGCAATCATCAACCCTTAACTTCTTCCAAGTAATCCAGATGATTGCAAAACTGACTCTTATTTAATACGTGTTAGTTTATAACATGTATTTGGGACAAAACAAACCTGAATCTGCTGGTTTTACCAAGATGTGGTCCACTTGTCCCTAATTATCGAGAAATGCAATGTCTAATATACTCTTCACTAGGCAAATACATAACCACGTCCTACCAAAAAAGAGCTTCTGTTTTCTATACAAATGGAAATGAACTATGCCCATGAGGATCTATAAAGTCTCTCCCAAACTCAGATATGTCTCACTGGAATTAGCTTTTAAGCGCAATCAGCATTTTAAGCACAACTCCTTATAGCTGGAGTGGGCTTGATTGGGGTAGCAGTTTAAGATCAAAGGAGAAAGTCTTAACACCTCAGCGACAGGAAGTACTGAGGTAGGATCTTGTAGAGGGGAAAAAAAGTCATAATTAGCCTGGGGAAACCATGTCAACAAGCATTTTTCCTGTAATCCCATAGCTGCCCCTATTTGTATACCCTTGTCCTTCTTCTTATACTCACCAGCCCTAACCATATACCTTCTTCTCACCTCTCAGTCATCTAAACCAATTCTGCTATACAAGCTAGATTTACTCTTTAAGGATCCCAAATTATCTTTTATTTTCAAATGCCTTCTACATACTCCCAACCAAAATTTCCATTTTTGATGTTGTGCTATCAGGATGACAACCTGATTATACTAATTCAAATTTAAACATGATTAATTCCTGCTTACTTCCTGAACACTGCAATGTTTCAGTGGTATACAATATTTGATTTTCCAGTCTCCAAAAATGTCCCCTTTTCCTTCCCCTCAGCTTTACATCTGCAGCCAGAGGTCAGGCCACTCCTATCATATTCTATCTGTCCCAGGCTTTCCAAAATTGCACTGGAGATATTTCTGTCCTCCACAAGTGGGTCCTGCATATCCATGACTAGACTCCAGCATCTTTGTGGAGTCTCCAGAGCTCTTTGCCTTCTTTCTGCAGGTCCGTGGGATTTCTCCAGTAACTCTGCTTGCTCTTTCAATTTCTCGCACATCTCTATCCTATGTCTGTTCCTTTATTCTCCCAGAACTGTTACTCCTATGCATTCCTCTTTCATGAAACAATGCCCAAGTACTGCTTGGGCAAGAAGATTTTGACTTGAAAGGCATATTTTCTATCTCAAATTTGTATTTCGAAAGTGGAATAATTGTTTCTTATTTTTTTATGTCCAAAATTGGGAAGAGGAACAAAGTTCTCAGCTGATCCTTGTATGGAGAACAGCCCTTTCAGGGGCCAGAATTTTGTTAGAAAGTGTTCTTCAAGATATTTAAAGGTGGATAGAGTTTAAGGTTGAGAATTTTAAGGTCTCTGGTGCTCAGTGGCTCTTCATGCTAAGATATTGTTTCCCCTGTCATCGTAGGGATAAAGCTGGACAGTCTTTAAGTCTCTGGGCAAAGGCCATTCCACCGAGTCTTGTCCTTGATGAACATTTCTAAACAAAACAATGTACATCCAGGAACTGGTGTGCACCAGCTGCAGCAGAAAAGCTGGCAGATGCTTATCCAAGCTTCCAGAATCAAGGGATGATGACACTTAATGAGTAATTTCAGTCCTTTGGCATAGTCATCTTCTGGCCACTTTCAAAAATCAGGAGTGCTGTGCGCATTGGAGGATAATGATTTCTCTTAAGGCAGCTAAGCTATCTATTATCATTATCTACCTTCGGCATCATAACATTCTGAAAAGATTACTTTTCTGTCTGCCCAACTTTGCACATATACTTATAAATTGTATAGTTATTATTAGTATATTGTAAATGGATATTATTTAAAAATGGGTTTATACTAGAAAACATGGCCTTATTTGACAAAATATTTTCTTTAAAATCCTGTCACAAGAAGATGAGGATGAAAGAGCTTTGTGGAGGTCGTTGTCATTGGAACCTGACCCAAAGTACTTAAAGTTTCCTTCCTATCAGCATTGATAACCTGGAATGGCATTAATACTGAAACCTTGGAATTTTTAGGGGCAATTCTTTCTTTGACTATAAATGAACTGTAGCTTAAAACAAAAACATGCATTGGAAATGAAAAGGAAAAGTTAGCAACTATCTGTCATGGAATAAAAGAAACTCCACTGTTAACTGTTATTGGGGTAATGCAAGTCCCAGAAGAAGCAACAGACTTTTCTGTGAGCCAATATGCAGGAGTTCAGACTCACCAATGGCATGTTGGAGATAGCCAAGTGCCTTGGCTCCCTTCGGATCTTGATCGAGAAATTCGCTTTGAGGGCAGGTTCATCAAAGCAGGGGAAGGCCATTCTAGCTGCAGTTGGTTCAAACTGGGTTGATGCAAGTATCCTGAAATCATAGCAAGGAAAATAAAATTGAGTATGATACACTAAGGGCTCCCAAATAGGTTTTTGTCTGCTTTTTAATTCCTGAAGTTAACATAAGATTAGTGGATTTCACTAGTAAATGAATATTTTTAAAAGATTAATATGACAAAACCTCTTACAAACTAAATTAAAAGAGAAGTAAAAAACCAGGGAAATGCCTAGAAAAACACATGAGGAAGAGTTAAGAGCCTTAAAAGATAGTGAACACTTAAAAATTAGTAAGAAAATATCCAATGAGCAAGTGGAATCTCTGACTAAACAGGCAATTCACAAAAGAAGAACCGGCAAGTTATTTACAAAATATATCAAAAGCTGCTCAACTGTCTTAATAAAGTAATAAAAATTAAGGGTCTTTTGCTCTAAAAAGATTGCTAATAAACATATTAATGAGGAATGTAAAGGTATAACAAGGGATATCCATCACTTTGGAGATTCTTTGACTTACCAACTTTACTTATAGGCATTTATTGTAAAGAAATGATTTATAGATTTCATCAAAGTGTTGCTGACAGTGAAAAGTGGGAAACAATTTCCATACATGGGAGATTAGCTAAATAAATTAACATATAAACATGTATTTTAATAATTATTAAAATGATGTACAGTGACAGTCATTGATATAAAACATCTTCTCAATGTATTAAATTTTAAAAACTCCCTTGTAAACAGAAAATATAACATAATTCCATTTACATAAAATAACATTTAGGCATATCCAGAGAGAAGTTTCTTATAACAGAAATAATTATCTCTGGGGACTATGGGATAAATTTTATCCCATATAAAAATATAAAATATATTTTATCCCATATATAAATATAAAAAAATATTTTTGGGTCAGACACAGTGGCACATGTCTGTCATCCCAGCTACTCAGGAGGCTGAAACAGAAGGGTTGCAAGTTCAAGGCCAGGCTAGGCAATTTAGCAAGACTCTGTCTCAAAATGAAAAATAGAAAGAGCTGGGGATATAGCTCAGTAATAGAGTACCCTTGGGTTCAATCACCAGTAATGCATACATACATACATACACACACACACACACATACACACACACACACACAATTCTTTTTGGTAGCAACTAACGTTTTACTTGATAAAAATAATATAAAATCAATGTAACTTACCAACAATGAAAATTTGATTTTAAAGTTTAGTGTAAAATTTCCCCAAATATATATTTTCTTAAAAGCAGAACCAAAGCAAGGCAATGGAGCTCTGTAAAATATTTTAGTTGAGGTAAAAATATTTAAAAGCCAGGCATGGTGGTACATGCCTATAATCCCAGAGGCTCGGGAGCCTGAGGCAGGAGGATTGCAAGTTCTAAGCCAGGCTCAGCAACTCATCGAGGCCTATGTCTAAATAAAATACAAAAAAAGGCTGGGGATGTGACTCAATGGTTGAACACCTCTAGCTTCAAAAAAAATCTTTCCTCTAATGGGCTGTCATGAGTTGAATTGTGATTCCAGAAATATATACTGATGTTCAAACCCCTAGTCTCTGCAAACATGACCTTATTTGAAAATAGGGTCTTTTCAGATTTAATAAAGTTAGAAAGAGGCCATCAGGCTGGACACTAATCCAATATGACTGGTTTCTGAAGGGATAATGGAAGTGTCCGTGTGACAACAGAGCAGTGATGGAGCAATAAGATGAAGCTCAATGGTCACAAGGATCAACGGCCACCACCAGGGCTAGGAAGAGGAAAGAAGGGTTGTACCTGAGTCAGAGAAAACATGGGCCTGCAGACACCTTGATTTCAGACATCCACCCTCCAAAACTGATAAATAAGTGTCTTTTTTCTTTGGCTTTTTTTTTTAATAAGACACATAGTTGTTGGTACTTTGTGACAACAGCCCTAGGAAACTAATGTGTACCCAAAAGAATTTAAAATGTTCAGTAGTCTCAGAAATCTAATGAAACAAATTACTATTTGCTCTGATTAAGCTGGTGGAAAGAAAATAATCAAAATAGAATAAAAATGAGATTTTAAAAGAGCAAGGGGAAAAAAAAAACATTGGCCATTTTTAATGCCACAAAGAAAATGTAAAAACAAAACTCACATGAGTTTAACAATAAAGAGGGGGTTTTAAAAGACAACCCATCAGATATAATGGATTTTGATATAAAATCTGGGGCTATGGCTCAGTGGCAGAATGCTTGCCTCACACCTGTGAGGTACTGGGTTCAATCCTCGGCACCCCATAAAAATAAACAAACAAAACATTTAAAAAAAGAAACAAAGAAGGGATTTAGAGCAGGCGGCACTTGAAGCTTAAAACATTTTAAATCACCTCACTTCCCCTTCCTTGGTTCTGTAGGTGCTTTTATAAAATCCATGGAAACTCTCAGACAGATTGCCAGCAAAGTCAATGGTTACTGTGTATGGGAGTCCTGTGAGGAGTGGCTCCGGAGCCAGAAGTGCGATTTGTTCGTGAGGGGGATACTCCAGGACCCTCAGCAGCTTTTCAGATGCTCTCTCCAAGGCAGCTCCTTTCCTGAGAGTGGCCTTGGATATCTGCAGGCGGTGACTATGCAGGATGATGGTACTGGTGGGCTGGCTGGCTGTGATCTCTATTTCTGTGGATCCTGAGAAAGTCAGCGTGCTGAGGTTTGCATGGATCATAAGATCATAATGAACTGGGATGACATGCTCAGGAAGTCGCATTTTATTCCAAGGAAATGGCGTCCCATCACTTGCTTTTGGAGATGTAGCATCACTGTTCTGACACCATGAAGGAGTTGTCAGAGTCAAGAGTGAGGAAAGTAGAAATAACATGCTTGTAAGTGGCCATGGGAGGGGCAGAGACACCATCTTCTTGCTCAAACTACCTATGGGCACAAAGACCAAAATGAAAAATCATTAATATGTTGTCAAGACAGCATACTATCAGAATTTATCTATCCAATATTAACAGACATAGACATACACTTTCAAAAGTTTTCTTGAGAGTAAAATTACTTTCCCTATATTACTAATTCACAAAGGGAAGAAGTTTATGGTTAGCAACAATCTTAACACATATTAGAAAGTATCATTTGGCTTTCAAAATTTAACTCTGTCAATGTTCTTGGTTGAAAGAAATCAAATAAGCTCTGGTTGATGTAGCCAGAACAAAATATATATTTGAAGATCTGGAGTAGCTCAATGAATAAGTCCCAGGGGTGCAAGACATTTGGGAAAGTACTTTCACAAAGCAGACAAAGATGGACAAACAGAATCATTTCAGACAATATTCTGTTCAAGAGGTTGCTCTTCAACAACACCGGACCTCAGAGGAAGATGCTCTTCTGCTAGCAGAAGCTAGCACTGTTGCAGCTACCACTAGACTGAGATCCCCACTGTCCCTGCAACTTTCCATAATTTGTTTCAGTTTCAACATTCCAGCTTTGAAGTCCAAGTACCTGAGCAAAGGTGAGGTGTCTACACCACCACGCAGGGAAAGCAGAGAAAGAAAGAATCTGGACTTCTAAGCCTGACTGTGGAAATCAGGCATGAGATCCCAGCAAGCCTCACAAGGTCAAGAATTCCTAAAACAGGAAGTACAGGGAGGACACCGAGATGCTGAATAGTAAGGGGAAAGGCAGGTATCCCTAATAGTAATCTTTAATCAGATTAGAACCTTCCTCAGATTTTCAGGCCAAAAGTTAACTTAATACTTATAAAACCAAGAATAATTTAAGGAGTTAGTTGAGAATTATAGCACAAAAACAAGTTAACTAAGAAAATGGGGAGGTAGCATGTTCCAGTCAGAGGGAAAGAAAGCATACTTGCAGGCTAAGGCAGAAGAAAACACTGGATTCAAAGGTTAGTGAATCTGAAATACAGCACACAGTGGGGAGAAGTATGCCTGGAGAGGTTGGTAGAGGACAGAGCACCACACAACCTATAGGCCTGTGTGGATTTAGAATGGTATCATCAGTGTAATGAGAAGCCGCTGGAAGGGTTTGGAGCTAAATCTTAAGATACAATTTGCATTTTAATAAACCACCCTGGTTGTTATATGAAGAGTGGAAAGCAGCAAGAATGAAGGCAAGAGACTAGTTCAAAAGCAGTCCTCACAAAGTAGTGTCTTATACTGGAATGAAGGAGAAAAAGAAAGAAGGACAGTTCTGGGGGTATATTCATCTATATTTAGGGTAGATTGGAAGTGGGAAAATAGAGAACAGTTTTCAGGGGTGGCTGCTGTATTTCTAGAATGCACATATGGTAGTCATGGATGCCTTTTTTTGAGATGGAGAGTGGAACAGACTCAAAAGAGAGAAGTGGCTCAGGTTCATTTTGTTAAATGTTTAATTTATAACATCTGTAATATTCGGGAGGAAATTCATGAGTTTAGAGCCCAGAGATAAGGTTTTAAAGGACTTTCTTATACTTCACTGTGTACTCCTTTACAGTTTCAAAAAGTATTTTCTTTTGGCATCTGGTCAAATTAAAGCCTCTTTCACAATCAGTGTCCTCCCGCAAGTGCAACAGGTTCTGTGAGCTTTACTTCGGGGCCTGAAGAATCTAACAACTTATCTTGTTGGGCTGCCTTGGTGATTCTGACTTTTCCTACTCATCTAGTAGTTCAGTGGCAACTGACTCAATTATTTCTGGCTTCCCTTTATGGGACACTACAGAATGCAAAATAGAGCATCAAAGGAACAATGAACTTGCTTCTGAAGTTTCTGAACAATGAAGTTAACAAGCACTGAAAACAGCTTGCCACTCCTGGCAAATGATTTAAATTTTGTATCACTTTGAATTTTTCTATGTAGGTCTACCTAAAAATGTGCCACTACTCAGTATATAAAGTTTTTTGTTTGTTTTTGTTGTTGTTAGTTTTTTCAACTGTTGACCACATCCTAAATCGAGAATAAATATTCTGGGTACTTAATAGAAAACAGCATTTATTTTAAATGTGGTCTATACAAAGAGGTCAAATCATAAGCATAAGGAAGTGTTGCTTTTCCCTTCCTCTTATGAAAATTAACCTGGAGGCCTACTGGCCAGGGAGGGCCAAGAAGGAAAATCCTCTCACCTCTCCCCCAAGGACCCAGGACCCAACTCTGGGCCTGGAGTGTGCTAGGTAAGCCATGTGCCACTGAATGTGATCCCCAACCTCAGAAGGAAACTTTCAATTGCTCCAACAGGAGAGTTTTATTGGAATAAAACCAGGCTAAAGTCAAAACAAAGAAGGGAAAGAAATTGCTGTTGAGTAGTACAGGAGAGCCAGGCGCGGTGGCGCATGCGGGTAATCTCAGCGGTTTGGGAGGCTGAGATACGAGAATCACGAGTTCAAAGCCAGCCTCAGCAATTGTGAGTCGCTAAGCAACTCAGTGAGACCCTGTCTCTAAATAAAATACAAAATAGGACTGGGGATGTGGCTCAGTGGTCCAGTGCCCCAGGAGTTCAATTCCTGGTACGAAAAAAAGAAGAAGTAGTACAGCAGAAACAGGGAGGAAACCAACCTTAGGACACATATAGCGCCCCATCTCACTAAACCCCTATCATCTTCCCGGTTGTTAACGCAAAGCCAAGTTCTGTTCTCTGGCAAGTACCAGCAAGGCGTCCTCCCTGGCCTAACCCCGCCCCTCTTTGACCTCCAGCATAGTGGAGCGGACACAGTGGCTGGCAGAACTCCAGCAGTGAGGCGGAGCGCGCGGAGCGGCTCCCGCCAGCCCGACCACAGCGCGGCCTGCCTAGCGGCGAGCAGGGCGACCCGCCGGCCGCGCGCCCCCGCCTTCTCCGGGTGGCAGGGGAGCGTGCGGGTGGGCTCTTCGTCCACCCGCAGTGGTCCCCGCTGACTCCGGCCCAACCCAGCCCAGTCCAGCCCGGCCTCGCCCTCCTCCCCGCCTCTGACCTCCCGCCTCGCGGCAAGTTCAGGAAAAAAAAGTCCCGATCGCTCCCTCCTTGGCTCCGCAGCTCGCTCCCTGCCAGCCAACCCCGGACACTCGCGGCCTGCCTGGGGATCGGGACAGATCGACTCACCCTCGCGCCACCGCTGCCTGCCTGCAGCCCCGGGACCGAAAGTGAAAGTGGAGTCCCAGCAGCTGCGGGCGGGAGTGGAGGGACGCGACGGATCCCTTGCCTGAAGCAAGACCTGACGAAGGGCAAACCTGGGAGTAGGGTATGGCCACGGACGCCATCGTCCCTCCCCAGGGACGAAATTTGTCAATGAGTATGGACACCCGGGAAACTGCGGGGTTGACAGAAGGGATCAGATAGTGAGGGTCCCCGTTTAAGAACGCGGATTCTTTTGTCTGCGTATTTTGAGGGTTTTTTTTTTTTTTTTTCGTTTCTTTTTTCTTCCCACTAGTTACTCCTTATCGAAGCAGGCACTTGGAGTACACAGAAGGTAGCTGGTGTTTCAGGAAGGGACCAAATAAGGGACCCAGGCTCGCTTGTCCCCCAAGGCTGGAAGGACTGGACGCCCATTGGAATCCGAGGGTGTCGATCATCTCACCTCTGCGAATGGGCTGAGAGCTCGTGGCCCGCCTCAGAAACAGGAACTGCAAAATACTCTGTAGTTGAAAAACTGTCTGGTGGGATTATTTTCAGCGTAGAGTGGCTAAATTAGGACATGCTGCATTAGCAGAGGGAGAGTTATAGCAGGCCTCCAGAATTTCCCTACTACGACCAATGGGCACCATACCCCGGAGGACTGGCTACTTCTCAAATTAAAATGTTCCCGCTATTTTATCAAGGACAATGACGATTTCTTCGCTCTCCTTAGAACCTTAAAAATTCGAAAAGGCTGTATTTAAACAGTTGAGGTCACAAGCTAAGAAAACAAGCATTCAAATTCACCAAAAGCTCCAAGTTGGTGAGTGGACTGTGTTCCCTGTGGTAGCAGCCCCCTTGAGTATTGTTTTCAGGCTTTCAAGTCCAGCCTCCTTCTTAGACTAATCTTTCCTTTGAGAACTGGGGTTCTAAATCACTGGAACAATATTTGTCAACATTTTTATTTTTCAATCTTATGTCTTCTTTTGAAAAATATATTTAGTTCCATACATTCTTCTCAGGACATTTTGTAATATAAAAATTAACATTCGGTTCTAGACTCAATCAGGATAGGATCAAAGCAAGGGGAGTAAGTTTGTTTGTTTGTTTTCATTAAAATTCAACAAGTAATGGGGACTTTTGGATCATTTGGTTTCTGCACGTTCAGAACATGGCAGGAGGTGTCAACTATGAATCACTCACTGTCCTCTAAGGTCTACAGCCATCTCTTGATTGCTCCAGTTTGTCAGGATAGATTTCTTGTTCAAACCCCATGCATTTATTTACCTGTATATTTATGTTTTGGGATTTGATGGTTTCAGTTTTGTTTCTAGTAAAGCTTCTTTAAAAATATTTCTTGAAGGTCAGGAGCAAATGATCCAAACAGACTGATGCAGAAGACTACCAAAAAGGCAGGAAGAGGTCAGGGCCTGCACATGAACCTGGAAGAATGGAGCTCATCTGTGGACAAGGAAATAGGTGACGGTATTACCCCCTGAAGACTGTTCACCCAATCTCTCCTTGGCTTTAGACTCAGCTACATTAGCCTGATTTTGTCTTTCAAGGGTCCAGATATGCTACAAAAGCAGTAAGACCAAGGATTTGGCAGCATTTTCTTCTAGTTTTCAAAGTCCTAGCAGAGATGTATGGGTTGCAAACCTTGAAGTGAGTAGTTGGAATTTTAAGGAGTAAGTTGTAGAGTTTGTGACATAAAAACTTAGGAAACTACCACACTTAGAAATGTTTAGGAAGAAGAGAACAAAGGAAAAGAACATATAATTTTGCTGATTACCTACATACTTACTGTTATATACTGTGCTGAATGCTAGCTCTGTGTGTGTGTGTGTGTGTGTGTGTGTGTGTGTGTGTAAATCTTTTCAGCAGCCCTGTAATATAGATATTATGCTTTATAGATAAGAAAAGAGAGAGGTTGCCAGTTTGCTCAAAGTCAAAAGGAAAATAGTAAAACTTATTTGTACCATAGATAAGTTGGTCTATTTGACAACAAAGTCCATGATTTTCCCTTTAATCACATAGCTTCCTCAGCTGTTACCTTGCTTCCTTCCCTTTTTTGCTCCATCTCCATTTCACTCAATGCTCCCATCCTGAAAAATCTTTATGAGTCTCTAGATTTCCTCCCAGAAGATACAGTGTTAGTTTTGCTGCTTTAAAGAGTAACCATGAAACACCCATAGTTCAAGCAAAGCTTTGTTTCTCACTCATGGTACATATCTATTGTTGTTAGGCAGGGTACTCTGCCCTTCATAGCCACCAGGACTCAAGGGGACAGAGGCTCATCATCTTGTGGGTGTGCCATCTGAAGCTTAGACCCTGTGAATTGTGATGGCAGGAAAGTGAAAGTTCAGAGGAAGATACATTAGTTCTTTACAACCTTGTTGCTAAATACTACACTCATATTTCATTGGCCAGAATAAGGAGAGATTGGTAAACAGTAATAATACTGTGTAGCATATAGTGTAAGAAGGCTAGTTGATTCCATCCAATTTAGAGGTGTTTAAGTGTCCTTAGTGCCAGATGAGAGCTAAGGGAAGGAGGGAGGTCCTCCTCAGACTTGAGCCACTGGAACATGTACACCTTCAGGCTATTACTGGTCTTTTTTTTTTTTTTAATTGGATCCCAAATATCATCAAGCTGTGTTTAATTTAACTCAAATTAGGAGTCAGTTCTACCTTTATTAGCTTTTGGTCAATTAATGTCAGTATTTGATTTATTTATTCTGTTTTGTTGCCAGATTTGCTGCCATTTTAATCATACTGCTACTCATATTGATGTAAAATCTCACCCAGAATCACGATGCAAAAGACAGACAAAAGCAAGGCAGTGCTACTCTAGTTAAACGAGGCAGCTCTGCCCCTTCAGTTCTTGCCTACACGCATATACACACACAGGTGCGCACGCGCGCGCACACACACACTCACACACACACAGTGGATCTGAGACACTTCTACAGGCTCATGTGTCCCTAGAACTCAATTTTTTGGGGGGAGAATTGGAGTACCGGGGATTGAACTCAGGGGCACTTGACCACTGAGCCACATCCCCAGCCTATTTTGTATTTTATTTATTATTATTATTATTTTTTAACTTTTAAAGTACAATTTATAAACTAGAGTATATGGTAACAATATTGTATTCTATCTAGAGACAGGGTCTCACTGAGTTGCTTAGCACCTCGATTTTGCTGAGACTGGCTTTGAACTTGTGATCCTCTTGCCTCATACTCCCAAGCCGCTGGGATTACAGGTATGCACCACCGCGCCCTGCCAGAACTCAATTTTTTAAATGCTGATTTTTTTTTTTTTTTAAATAGCTGTCTCTCACTCTTGATAAAGAAGATGACAGTTGTGTGTGTGCACGCACCAAATTGCAGGAGAGACTTGCTAAACAAAATCTGTGAGTTTATTTATAATCTTTATTTGTACTCAGAAACAGGGAAGAAGGTATAGATGCCAAATTTAAAAAAAAAAAAAAATGTCCCAAAGTAGGCCACTGAGCTTATAACAATAAATTCCTCTTCAATTTTGCATTTGAAAGTGTTCACATGACTGTCTGGTTGGATCTTCACCATGTACTTGTGCAGGTGACTTATAACTTCATTTTCTAGCATAAGGAAACTGAGGATTTGCTATGGTAGGTGACTTTCCAGGGGACACCTACCTGGTGAAGACAGCCTCCTTTAAAGTGACGCCAATCCAAGGAAAGCAGAGCTGACACAATGCATGGCCCCAGTGAAGACCTAGGATCCACAAGTTCTGTGTACTCTACCCTTGGACATTCTAGTCAAGAGAGCCAATGGATTCCAGTTGGAGCCAGCCTTCAGAGAGAGTCCCAAGTCACAGTGATAGAGCAGTATAAGAGGGAGTAATGGACACCAGCTTCTGTCGGAACAACTGGAGTTCTTATTAAGGGATCACAACTGCTATTGGAACTGCCAGGTCCTAAAGACTAGACTGTTCTAGTCTAGGTGCTGTGAGAACTAAAGGCATATTTCCCACTTTCCCTCCCTACTCAGGCATTTATTGCACACACTCAAGCCAATAAGGTACCCTGGGCATATCTCCAGTTCTTGCCTAACAGAAGCCAGGAAATCCACTCCTCTTTGTCTTTTTCTTTACACAGCATTCTGTGTTCTATTTGCTTTGTCCCTTCACTTCCTTCGGTTAGGAGGTAAATCACCATAACACATGCTTTTTTAATTATTATTATTTTCATTTCTTCAAATGCTAATGAAATAGGGGACATGCTCTAAACATATGTTAATTAGATATTTTTCCTTTTTATTTCCAGTTTTCAGAATTATGTTTGTTGCCCATTTATTAGAAAATTCATATTTAGTTATGTAAAAATTATCTATGACACACAAGAGAAGGTAATGAATTTCATTAAAAAAATTAAATATATAGGATGGGGTTGTGGCTCAGCGGTAGAGTGCTCACCTAGCACAGGCGAGGCCCTGGGTTTGATCCTCAGCACCACATAATAATTGTGTCCAACTACAACTAAAAAATAAAATATTTTTAAAAATGCAAAATATACCGTCAGTGAGGCTCTGGTGTTAGGTCCAGCTGAATCATGTCAGTATCTTAATATTCATATCTATGCCTACTATGTTCAGTCATTTGAAGTACTGGAATTTACTAGGTTCAATCTAAGCAGATCAAAGCAGATTTTTTCTTCAGGAAATGTGGTATCCAAGCTTCATATTGTTTATGTCTCCCTCTGTCACAGCAATTACACAAAGAAAGAATGAGTTATCCAGACAGGAGTGAGCATATTCTTTGTGTATGCCTAAGGAAATAATAAAAATATTGGAATTTAAAAAATAGGATCATCTGCTATTTTTCTTTTTTTTTTTTATAAAAAATTCATTTTGTTTATTTATTTTTATGTGGTGCTGAGGATCGAACCCAGGGCCTTGAACATGCTAGGTGAGCGCTCTACCACTGAGCCACAACCCCAGCCCATCTGCTATTTTTCTGAAGGACTGTGTTGTCATGCTACTAAAAGTACCATGTTTGGTAGCAGATAATATTGTAAAGACATGAGAACAGTACTGTCTGTTGCAATAACTGAACACAGGAAAAATAACTTTCTTAAAGTTTATTTTCTAGGTTAATGCCTTTACTACATTGAAATTAGATGAGCTATGATATAAGCAGAAAAGAAAGGGGACTAATAACCTTCTTGGTAGGATTCTCTAAGATGTAAACAATTGGGGCCTGAAAAAAAGAAACTATCAGTAATGGTCAACCGTAAATGATTAGCACAAAGCACTTTGGGGTTGACAATTTGACTTAAATGAAGACTCTGTTTCCAATAATGCTTGACAAATTAGACTGTGATTACACAAGACATTGCTCAGGTGGTCTCAAATATCAGGCTACCCTAAGCTTTATTCCCTATTTTCCCTTTCCCAATCCTTCCTAAGAGACAGTTCCCCATAACTCATTTAAATGTGTGGAGTTGAATTAAGAGGAGAGAAGTGGAAAAAGAGGTGCTCTCACTCATATGAAGCTATGTAACTCCTCTGGCTGCCCTGTGGTCAGGAATCTTAGCCTTCTCTGTCCCCAGGAAGCTGTCTGGATGGAGGAGGAAAACCCTTTTTTACTTACAAAGATGTCTGAAAGGTGACAAATCTGGTGCGTAGAGACCCTTCAAGATAAAGAAACACTACCTATAAAAGTGGAGAGAAAGAAAATAGTTTAGGCATAAAAATTTAAAGGAACAAAATAACCCAAACCTTTAATAATAATAATTTAAGAGGGTTAGGAAAATACCTGAATTAAATTACCTTCATGCTGAAAGCAAGACTTGATCACTCATCCAGCCTTGCTTGGCTCCAAAGGTTTCTCTAAGTTTTGTTCCTCCAAGTAGATATTTCATTTAACCAAATAGCTACAGTGTCAGGCACTCTTAATTGCCTGCCCCAAATCCATTCACCTTTGCTTCCTCACTAACAGGTTTGAACACACTTCAGTTAAACTTCCTAGGCAAAATATACAACTTCCCACACACACTCCATTGCAAGGAATCATGTTGTTCTACCTGTTCATTTAGATGTAACTAGAAATTTCTTGTCAGGAATATTCAGAAAAGCCTTTAAAAAAAAAAAAAGCAAGAAGCAAGAATTGGCTGGAATCCACCTTTATCTTTTACTCTCATCCTACATTTCTTTATGTAATATAAATGACCTGGAGATACAGTAGGCATCTTACCACCATGAAGATGAAATCTACTCGGTATTGATGCTTGTTAGAATTTGGTGGGCATTGGGAGTGTAGTTTAGTGCTATATATTTTGTATCTGGAAGGTGGAGTCTCTCTCTCTCTCTCTCTCTCTCTCTCTCTCTCTCTCTCTCTCTCTCTCTCTCTCTCTCCCCCCTTTCTGATCATCATGTGTGCTGCTTCCCTCTGCCACACTCCTCTGCCATGATATTCAGCCTCACCTCGAGGCCAGAGTAATGGAGCTGTCTATGGACTGAAACCTCTGAAGCTGTGAATTCTCAAATAAACTTTTCCTCCCCTACAATTGTTCTTGCCAGATCTTTTAGTCATAGCAGGGGGCAGGGGGCGGAAAACAGATGGAAAGACAGAGGGGTCTAGTCTCCAGTGACGCCTTGGCACTGCTGCATGGCCCTGATGTGCTCACCTATAGGCATCTTGATACCTGAGGAAAATAAGCACCTTAACTATTTCAGAAACCATAGCTAGGTTTCCATTACATTCAGCTGAAAGAACTCCTAAAAATATCATTAGAGACCAAGCTCTAAAGAGCTAAATTATTTCAAACTTGTGTTATAACTTTTCGAGAAGTAAATCCAATAGCCATGGTATTTTCCAGGATTTCTTCATTACTTGGTGTGAGGAAATGCCCCTTCCCCTACCTCAGAGGAAACTGTGTCTCTTACTGTTAATTGTATCTATTATCAATTTCTGCATATTGGTACATATTAAATATTTCTTCACAGAAATGCTTGGGATGGAAGTGTTTCTGATTTAAAATTTGGAATATTTACACATACATAATGAGATATCTTGGAAATGATACAAAATGTAAAAAAAAATGTTCATGTTTCACATAAACACACAGCCTTAAGGTAATTTTACACAATATGCTTTTTTTGCATATACCTGTGTTTTGATTTCTATACCTCACATGCGGTCAGAGGTGAAATTTTACACTTGTGGTATTCAGTTGGCACTCAGAAAAGTTTCTGATTTTGGAACATTTTGGATTTCAGATTTTCTGATTAGGGATGCTCAACTTATAATACCACAATGTTGATTATCAGGTGGAGGGGTGCTGGGAGTAACTGGAAAGATTTTAGTCAAAGGATGAGATTTCAAAGATTTATTGTACCTCATAGTGACTATATTTATAAATGCAAATTGCTAAGAGATTAGATTTTAAGTGTTCTTACCACAAAAGATGTAAATGTCAAGCAATGCATATGCTGATTAGCTTGATTCCACAGTGTATGCATCATATTTCAAAACATCTTATTGTGTGCCATAAACTTTTGTCAATGAAAAATAATAATTTTTAAAATAAATAAGTTTTATTATACTATTAAAATAATAAATACCACAAATTTAGCAACTTAAAAGTCTCATTTATCCCCCTACCTCCCACCATTTGTGGATTTACTTTCACATATCAGAGAGAACATTTGACCTTTGTTTTGGGGGACTGGCTTATTTCACCTTAGCATTATAATCTCCAGATCCATCCATTTACCAGCAAATGTCATAGTAATTCTTCTTTATGGCTGAGTAATACTCAAACAGCTCCACCTATGGAGACAACATATGCTGGGGGGCCCCAAACCCCCGTAGTTGATAGATTGGAAGGATCCTGAAGGATGTGAAGGAACTATACAGCCATATGTATTGGATCATCTTCCCGAATATTTATGGGGAAGAGATGTCCTAGATCAATTAGGTTTGACATTAACAAATAACATCAACCAAAATGCACCCACTATTATGACTAGACAAGGTTTTAGGAAAGGAAAAAGATTAGAAAAACAAGAACAAGGTATAGCAGCACCAATACAAATAGATCAAGGAACAGACAGACATGGGTTGGATTTTCAGAAAGGGCCACTGAGACAATAAAAATTACTTGGAAATCAGAAAGACCAGTATGGGTTCCTCAGTGGCCCCTGACTAAAGAAAAGATACAAGCAGCCCATGACCTGGTCAAACAACAATTAGCAGAAGGACATATACAACCTTCTGTATCTCCCCATAATACTCCCATTTTTGTCATCAAAAAGAAATCTGGCAAATGGAGATTATTGCAAGATTTAAGAGCCATTAATAATGAGATGGTTATTATGGGACCTGCTCAATCAGGGATTCCTCAGTTGTCTG